TTTTGGAACGCCTGTGGCTTCTTTTATTTTTAATCTGAAAATGCATTTCACATCCTTCTCCAATATTGCGCCTCGTGACATTCTTCATTTCCTTGTTTCAAAACAACAAAACCCTTCAAGAAGATGATTCATTTTATTTTTAGTCTGTTTATTCAAAAAATGTTCTCTCTCCTTCCGGCTTCTGTTTTAGCTTCCAACAGTACAAAAGAAGTACTTTCTCTTGGAATCCAGACCATTCCCTGGCTATTCTGATTTATGCTCATCAATTTCTTCGCATTCTTAGCCCATCACACCTTTTCGTTATGCAAGAACACGAATCAGGCCACACCTTTGCACTTCGCGCAAATTAAAACATCACTACTCTCACGTAGGCAATCGGTGGTTTAGAAGTAAAAGGAGAAAAAAGAGAAGAAGGGAAGTATTTAGCCAGACTGGATATATCTTTATTTGTATGAAAGAAAACAAACCCTATTTTCTAGAATTGTTCCATTCCTTCTTTTTCTGTTTTTGCTCATTTCCCTTTTTGAACAGTGGTTCATGGGAAAAAACAACAGAATTAGCTCTAAATTTTCTCTGTGCTGAACCTATTTCAGTGTCTAAACGTATTATTTTCAATTCCAAATTTCAGCAACTTGATTGGAATAACCACAAAATGATATGCAAGTCCCTTCAAACCAGAGGAATGGTGCCGAGTAATTTATTTATTTATTTATTTATTGGTTTACGACCTTGTAGGTCGTGATCAAGAAAAAGAAAAAAGAATAGTACACAATTACACAAATAGAAAAAAAAACAGTCAATCACATAAACAGTCAATGTCGGGATAGGTGGAACAAAAAATGCTTTAGGTATATGTATGGGATTAAAGTTTTGATATTAGGTCAGCGGTAACTCGTGGAGGATAATGCTCTATTTGTGAAAAAGTGGCGCCTAATTTTGGTTTTACATCTAGGCCAGAAGAACCTAGTGTTTGTGCGCGTACGGTTGTTTTCTACAACTTGAAAGAAAGCACTAGAATTAAGATCCATTTTACCAGCTATGATATTTCTTATTGTTTTTATGTCAATTTTACTGCGCCTGGATTCCAAAGATTCTAGGCCATAGTGTTCATTCCGCTCTTCAGCTGTTTTATAACTTTTGTCTGAAGGAGTAATATATCTGCCTTTCTGTCTGCTATACAGTCTCCTAGTAAATGAATTTTGGACTGATTCTATCATCCTCAGATCATGTTTCTTGGGCGGGCTAGTGATTGTTGTACCATATTCTAATACTGGGCGGACAAAAATCTTATAGAGAAGAATCTTATAGAGAGTAATCTGATGCCTCAGCCGACACCTGCTGCTCTTGCTCCACTCCCTCCGACGGTTACATACGATAATGCACTCACCGCATCACTTCTTCTTAATTTTCCTCATCCACCAATTTTGACTCAAACAGTTCCGAGTTTCCAACCGACGTTTTCAATTGTGACGAAACCTGAACCAGAGCCATCTCTTCCAATACAAATACCACAACCAATTACGTCTACAGTTCCATTTAGTAGTGCTGGAAGTGCATTCAAACCATACAGAAGTACTCACGTTTTCAACTCCTTATCGTCTGAATCAGTTTCATCTATGTGTACATCTCATGAAGCCTCACTGGATCACATGTCAACATCTTCTTTGGGAATTTTCCCATCTACCAGTACTGCACCAAATGATATCAGCAAACTTGGTATGATATTTTTATTTGTTTGTGAAAATGTATGAAACATTCTTTTACTGTTTTCATTTTCAGCTCAAGTATTGACTCTAGCTGGGGACTCAACTTCATCGTTAGCTCATTTGGTACAAGCTCCTACCACATCTACAGTAACTGTCCCTTCCCCACCACCACCACCACCTGCAAACGGAACAACAGAACCAATCGTCGTTGGGAAAGAGAGGATCATTGAGACTGATGATCCAGACATTCAGGTTAGTTCATATGTGTATGGTGTATATTTAGTGAACTGTAAAGATCACAATTTCCCATTTTCTTATTGGCAAGAAATGTTAATTTGTAAAATGTCATGGAAGATAAAAGTATCTAGGCTCATGCCAACGTGCCAGATTCTGCGAGCCCTCCCGAATTTTACGTGATTTGTGAGAAGAGAGTGGCGGACGGAATGCCTCACAAAATGGCAGTTTGGTCAAGCTGTTGAGAGCCACACAACGCCGAAATAAATTGGCTTCCGTTGTCGTTTTGGACCGGGGGCTCTTTCAGTAATTAGAAAATGGGGAGGAATAGAAAACAGCGGATCGTTGGATATTGTCGATCCATCAGTTCGATGTTCAGAACAAATCACGAGTACAAAGGGATCAAATGGGTTATATAGACAATGAGTCAGGTGACATATAGAATGAATGGAAATAAACTTTTGATGAACACTAGAATGTTTTTGAAAACGAGTTCAACGGGATCTCTGTTCTGTTTCTTTTTTTCCAATAGTGTTCGTTCTAGCCAATCACAATGAATTTTAAGTTGAAGTAAACCTGATTAGGATACTCATAGGAATGGAAATCACGTTATGTCTAGTGTCTGAATGTTCGAGGTCAGTGAATACTCCCATGTTGTCGAGAGAAATCTCAAAAACATGATAACTATTCAGTGGATCAGTTGGCTCAGAATATCTGAATAGAAACCTGTTACTGGTATCTGAAAGATCTGAAAAAGACAATACTTTGTATTAATAGTTGCAATAGGGCAAGAATACTCTGATTGTTTTTCAACTCTGAAAAGGTCTTCTACAGTACTTGCAAGAATCTCATTTCCGTTTCATTCTTTTTTTAGGCGTGTTTGTTTTTTCTCGAAGGAATATCTAGGAGAAACCTCTTGCTCTTCATTTCAAGTTCACTTATAACCTACAGTAATCCAGAAATATCTTCCGATCTCTGCTCATCTTTTTTTCCACTGTTCATTGTTCCTCACAGCCGAAACGACCCGGACCCAACGGAGATGCAGCTCATTCATTATTTTCTTCAGACTCTTAGCTCTTTCTTCTTCTTCTTCCTCTTCCATTCTATCTCATTCACTTTTACAGAAAGTGACAAAGTTCACGTAGCTCATCCTATTTATTTTCATCTTCCAATAACTTTTCGATCTCCTCGTTTTTTCTCCGGAATCCTCCCCCACTTCTATTTTCAATTTCCCAAGCTGAGAGTCAAGAAGACAAGGAACGGCATCGGAATTGAATGCTGTCTGACGAGAAAATATGAGTGAAATGTCACGTAGACTGAAGAGAAGCGAGAAGCCGGAAATTCACATCAACACAAGCATGGGAATGCATCCACAGGCTTACTCACGCAACTGAAAAACTGAAAAAAGAAGATATCTTGGAACACGGAGGAAAACAGATAAACATGATAAAGTTACAGTAGTCGAATTGAGACCTTTCACCTCATAAGACGACGTGCAGATCAGCAGTGTGCATCTATCACATTTATTGTTATCAGCACAGTTTCCTCCGTTTTCTCCGCCTCCCACTGTCTCTGCAAAACCTTTCTTTCCATTTTCGATTCTCGATTTCGGCACGTTTTGCTAAATTCACCCGCTTCTCCTCATCACGCACACAAACTCATGTGGCGCTCGTTTCTCTAAACATTTCACAGAATTTCATCGTTTCCTCTCTCATTTATTTTTAATGCTCATAGTAGATGTAGGCTCATTAACTTTATGATTTTTGAGCTATTCACTCAATGTGTTCTTATGAAATAACAAGAAAAAGGCAAATAGACAAGAGAAAAACAAATATTTTGCCAGTTCATTCTTTTCTCATTCCGACTACTGTTCATTTTTTCATTCCATTTGAATTCTTTTCTTCATCACAAAAATTGAAAAGAATATTGGTGTTCCTAAATTTTTCATTCAGTGTTTCTGAGTTTAGAAAAACCAATTCTGAATTTTCTAGTCATCTAAAAAGTCTATTACAATAACTAATTTGTTCGGATCTCTGATTTTTTTCGAAAGCACTTCTTGTTGACAGTGTATCCAGAAAAAAACTGCTGGCTCAATTAGTTCACATGCTTTTTCTCACAAGTTAGTATCTAAAAGAACTACTTTTCAGTGAGAATCTTCTACAGTTTTTGTTATCTTTGTCTCTGATCTTCCATAAATCATCATTCTCTCGTCCTTTTTCTTCCTTATTTTGTAATACGTGCAATTTTCTCGTATGCTAATCCTTCCACACTCTACTTCCAAACCGTACGCACCATGCGGCGGTCCCTTCTCACCAAACGTGCAAAATACAACGAATCGTGCGCACGTCGTCGGTGGTTTGCCTCCTCCGCGACGATGAAGACCGCCCTGTCACCACCATTTTCTTCTTCTTTTCTTTCCCCTCGTTTCCCAATCAACTACCAACGCTTCATCTACTGTTTTCATATTTTAATCATGATTCACAGTTCCAAGGAATGTCTTTTTCTTCCTCATCTTGATGTTCTCGTTCTCTATTTCTCAGTTGAATCTCTCTAGTTTTTTCATCTCAGACATGCCACTGCGAACGATCGCAGCCCCTTCATCTTACTGTAGTCATACCCAGATGTCCTCACATCCACGATGGCAGCCGTACCCGATTGCTGTTAAACCATCGGTAGGAAAAATAAAAAAATAAATCATTGCGATCAAAAAGATAGGGAACTAAAGCAGAGAACGTTTTTTTTATTCAAACATCCGTTTAGTCCGATTGCACGTTTCGCGAGAACAGGTGTTGCGATTGAGGTATTGGGAGCTGTGTTGTGATCTTTGCAAAATAAAAATCAGAGAGTTACACACAAAGTGTATCTCTTTTCTGTTCTTTTCACACCCGTGTAATCACAATTTGCACTTACAGATCATTGAAACAGAGGGATCCTCAAAAACTTCCGTTAGCAAAACTCGCAAACGACCGACGCCTTCTAACTCTGCTGACCCAAAAATAGTCTACAAGGACCACGGAAAGAATGTCGTTTATGCAGTAAGTTAATTTCCACAAAAATATTCGACCGAGGCAGGACTCGAACCTGCAGTCTTCGGTTTAGGAGACCGACGCCTTATCCATTAGGCCACACGGCCACGAGCGCAGCGCCAGTGAGTGAGAACTAAACTATCAAAAGAGAGTTTAGACAACAGACATTGAACCAAAACGAGCAGAAATTGAAGTCAACAATCTTGCAGACAACCTTACAAGAGCATCAAAAACACCTTCAAAATCGTGGTCTCGCTTTGAATATTCATCAAGCAATGGTCCTGAGACTGAGGGTACGTTATTACAGTAACCCTACCGTACTCTTCACAGTACACCTTCAAAGTATACAATGTTACCGTAACTCAATTGTTTTTCAGTATATTGCGGAACATGTGATCAGAAGCCTAAACGAGTTCGGATGGGCCGTTGTTGACAACTTTTTGGGCTCAGATCACTACAAATACACAGCCAAGTGAGTAGTATTAGTATCTAGAGAGGAGAGGCTGAATCAGTCTATTGCGAGATGGTTGGTAAACAAGCAACAGCAGATGTGTTGTATTCTCACGTAAACCTTTCATTCTCATGAATGGTGCATCACAGCTGATCGTTCCCCATGCTGTAGAGTGAATCAGAAGGGAGAGAAGAGAGAAACTGGAATCGGGATTCTGATCAAAACAGAAGTATGTTGTGTTCTGGTGCACAGTTTTCTCTCTGATCAACAGAACAGATTTGGAGGGATTTGAGAATCAGATTCAAAAGTTTACAAATAATTTATGTAAAAAAAACCGTGTTGCTTCATAGCTGGGACCAAATAGTTTCAGATTGAAAAACATTTTTAGTAATTTCAACTTTCTTTCAGAGAGATCGAAAGGCTTTACGAACGAGGGCTGTTCAGTCCAGGACAATTGATGGAAGGGAAAAATAAAGATGAATTCCATATCAAAGACATTCGATCAGACCATATATATTGGTATGATGGTTGTGATGGACGGGCAAAAGATGCTGCAACTGTTCGATTGCTCATTTCAATGATTGATTCTGTTATTCAACATTTCAAAAAACGAATCGACCATGATATTGGAGGACGCTCTCGTGCAATGTTGGCAATCTATCCTGGAAACGGAACTCGTTACGTGAAGCATGTAGATAATCCAGTTAAAGATGGAAGATGCATCACAACAATTTACTATTGTAATGAGAATTGGAATATGGCTAACGACGGAGGAACTCTCAGATTATACCCAGAAACTTCGATGACTCCAATGGACATTGATCCTCGTGCTGATCGACTTGTTTTCTTCTGGTCTGACCGTCGGAATCCACATGAAGTGATGCCTGTTTTCCGTCCAAGATATGCAATTACAATCTGGTACATGGATAAGTCCGAAAGAGATCGTGCTCTTGCAAAAGGAAAAGAAGGAGAAGCTGGATGCTCATCGAAGAAAGAGAACGACCCAAATACATCATCTCCTCCAGATTCTTTACTCGGAACTCCAATAAGAACTCGAAAGAATCCAAGTACTCACGATCTATCGAAGCTGGATCTCCGTCTCTTCCCATCACTTCTCTGATCTGCTCTGGTTTCTGATCTGATGATCAGTAAAATATATAGTGCATTTCTGTATGTACATATTCTGCTGGATGGTGCTGTATATGTTGGTGTGATT